ACTTCTCAGACTCCAGAACTGTGAGAAAATAATAGATGTGTGGTATTTAAGCCACCCAGCCTATGGTATGTTGTTATTGCAGTCCATAGAGACTAAGACAAAACTTTTGACTCTGAGTGGGAGTCATGTTCTTGGAGTCTTTTGACAGACATGGTCCATGATGCCCTAGACTTAAGGTTGTGTCAGGCCCAGTGTACTGCCTTAGGACTTCTTTAATTTTGGGTACCATAACCTCTGGGTACCTTGGGGAGAAAAGTACCCTAGGCTCCTGTGAGGATGTTTCTTGGCCTGAATCCAGGCTAGCTGGGCCAAATGAGCAATGAAGGCAGCCTGTAGACCCCAGGGGAAAGGATGTGTGGTCAGCCAGGGATCCTTGTTCCCCTGCCACCCTTTCCCAATGTCCTCCCAGTGGACAGCCTCATTTCTGGACAGGGAGTGATGTGTTTCTTCATGTTAACTCTGCCCTGTGCTATCATTACAGGGCACGCATTGGGCCAGCCCCAGTGAGGCAAAGGCAGCTCTGCCTCTATCTTAATTTCCCTGTGTTTCCCGTAACTGAGGCTGGAGCTGGCAGCCCGGGGTTGATGTCATCTGCTTTATTGTGACTGGATTTAGGCAGTTATTGCGAATATCCTCAGGCTAGTTTTCAGTGTGTGCCAGCTGGCAAAGCTGGTTGATTCTTTTAAGGGGCATCTGTAACAGTATTTAGGATCTCATTGCTATGGTCCTATAGCAGCACATCCTCAAACCAAAAAACCAAGTGAAGGACATCTACAGTCCAGAGAGGCTCCTGTTGGGTAGACATTTTATCTTGTGAATGTTTTTGTCTTATTTTTAGTTCACAAGCAGAACCTACAAGTATTCTCATGGTAAAGGACACATGCCACATGCCAGAGGTCACCACAGTGGACACTTTGTACAGCCTTACCACCCCCTTTCTTGGAATCAATACAGTATACAATGCTACATTGTATACTATGTTGTATTCTGTATTTGTATACCATATTTTATTTTTTAAACAAAGTGCATCATGCTGTAGTAGTTTGCTTTTTCTCACTTATTGTCTTTTGGAGAGCTTTCCATGTCAATGTAGAGGTATCGCCTCACTGTTAATAAGATGGGCAGATTAGCATCCTGCAGTGTGGCGTATTCTTACTAGAATTTATCTAAGCAGTTTGCTACTGATGGACACTTAGGTTCATTCAGTATTTGTACTTTACACATAAAGCTTGTTTATACCTAAACTTTGCAAATGCTTCTCTCCTCCCAACATTGAAAGAAAAGGACATAAGAACAGTATTGGTTTCCAGAAAGGTGAAGTCATTTTTCAAGATGGTTTTACATTCCCGAGTTACTAGTTCAAGTAAGTAGCACCATCTAGCTCTGACTCCTTTACATGCAGCTGTCAGAGGTTCGGAAGGGGCATATTGATGTGTTCCTGGTTTTAAGGAAGAAATGACCCATTTCAGGGGTCAAATTGCGACTTTGAGTTGGACTTCCTGATAACATGTTTCACCACACCCTGTAAGCTTCCCTTCTAACATTTAATGCTAGTTGCAGTTAGGTAGTTATTTGTTGAATTCTGTCTTCCCCTCTAGACTGTACCATATGTTCTTAAAATTTGATAAAAAGTAGGTATTCAAGTAAAGTGTGGGCAAATAAACAATGAGCAGGAATGTCAATAGGATTTTAGCATTTTTTGGATACTGACTGTTATTATGTTGTCTCTAAGAAGAATTTTATATCCCTTGAAAAATTAAAATTAAAAAAAAATTCCATCAAAAATTATTTGAAAGTTCTGTGTAGTATTATTGGAGCCAACTTAGAATAACAATAAGAGCAAGAAATATGAAATGACAAATAATAAACATTTCATAATGATAATAGCAATTTAAAAATATGTACAACCATTGAAAAAAATATCTACAATACCAGATTTCAGATACCTTTGAATTTTGTTTATAGTAAGACTTGATGAAAAATGCTTTTGGTTAAATTCTGCACATTTTAATTTTTTAAATTCCATTATAATTAGACTGACATAGGCCATCCTTAGAGCAGGTTTATTTTTAATTATCATTTATTTTTCCAATATAATTAATAATTTTACTTGCACACTTATCATTTCAGCCTGTTTTGTTCTTTCAATGGAATGTCAAGACTGTTGGGGAATTCAACCCATATCCACTGATATATTATGATTTTGTTATTATATAGCCAACCCCTAGGGAAATGAGCTTATTTTAGGGGTATTTGTATTGTTCTGTATGTAGCTCTATTCTCATAAAAATACTTGGCCATTCTGATAATATTTGAAAGGCTATTCAGTAATAGGAAGAGGGAAGCAGGGTCCTTAGTGGGAACTTGTCAGGTTATCTCAACAATTGGAGTTTTTTCTTTTTGATAGTTACGAGGAATACTCATTTCTACATTTGGGGGCATCATTAAAGTTACCCACTTTTCATATTTTGTCACAGCTGTTGTTACTGTCTGTGTGTTTTATGATGTAACAAATTTTGGATGGGTCAAATAAAGTGAATCTTTGAGAAAAATACAGCTTCCAGATAGGTATAGCAGCTGGCGAGTGTTCTCAGGTAAAGCAGGAGCAGGTTGTCCATGGACTTGGTGTGTCAGCTGGCAGGGTGGTCTTGTTTCAGGGTACAATTTGACTGTCCAGAGGGGTTTGCAGTGTCAGCCCCAGTAGGCACGTCCCACCATCACACTATGACACTGCTGCTGTGGCAGTGGAGGGAATTTTCCAGGTTAATTTTAATTTGCCAAATACCATATGCCTGTGTGTGTGTGTGTGTGTGTGTGTGTGTGTGTGTAACCAACCATTCTATTGTTTAGTGTATATTCTTTCACACTTCTCTTGTTTCTATGGAAAAAACATTATTAGCATTTTAACATAATATTTAAATGGAATATTTTGTAATCTGCTCCTTTATCTTTAGTGTGTCTTGGAAATGTTTTCATGTGAGTGCATGTAGCGATCCCTCATTCTTTTTAAAAAGGGTGTAACTTTCCATAGTGTGATTATATTTCAGCTTATGTAATTGTTCTGTTATGACACAGAAGTTCATACCACTTTTTTCTGTTACAAGCAGTGGTTCAGTGAACATCCTTATCTGTGCTTCTTTGTATAAAATATATTTCTCTAGAGCAGGGGTTCTCAAACTTTTTGGTCTCAGTCCTGTTACACTCTTCAGATTTCTTGAGAATGCTGTAAAAGCTTTTGTTTGTGGTTTATATCTATTGCTACTATATAGAAAAGCCCGTTGCATATTAACATATGTAATGTGTATTTTTATGAAAAGTGACTTCAGAAACTTGAATGGTATTTTTGCATATCTTCTTAATAGAAGACCTGGATTCTCCTATTTGCTTCTCATTCATTATTCTGTAATGTCCCACATCAGTAGCCTCTGGAAAACTCACTTTGTACATTCACAAGAAAATGAGAATAGAAAGGGAAGTAAAAATATGATGTTATTATAAATTAACATCACAGAACTCCTTCTGCAAAAGGGTCTCGGATTCTGAGGTTGCCAGGCTACACTTTGAGAACTATTGCTTTGGAATCCAATTTCATGGTGGAGTTAAAAGTCCAAGGGTCAAAAGGTGTGTTTGGAGACCCCTTAGAACTTAGACACTTTCAGTTTTTTAATTTGCTATTCTTAAGGTTGAAGTAGCATTTTATGGTATTGGTTTGCAGTTGCCTGTTTACAGTGTTATTTCACAAGACATATTTCTAGGCTCTACCTGCCACTCTTGCAGTGTCTGGAGACTGCACCTTTCCTTCTGGCCATTTACCATTTGGCCTGGGGTTTTGGATTTTGGAGAGGCAGACAGGTCTCAACTTGCTATCTTTCGCTTATGAAAGCCTTCCCCACCCCTCCAAAATCCATCTTAACTCTGTTTAACTTTTTTTGTTTTTAAAGCGAAAAGGTTTCCTGTTTAGTCAACTGATAAAACTATAAACATGGTTTGCTAGTACATGTGAAAATGTCTTTTTTTAAAAAGTCTTTTAAGAGTTAACATCTGCTTCTCATTTGAAGCCCTAGAATAAGGGTTCCTGAAGAAAGGCTCAGCTGTGCCTTTGGCTGGGGAACTTAATTCTCCTCTCAGATACACCAGGTTGTTTATTTGCAAAACAGTGCACTGTCTGTTTAAATGAAATAATACATAGACAGAGGTCTGACACATGGTTGGTATTCAATAAATGTTGGCTGAACTGAACTGAGGGTAAATTAAGCTTTTACACTCTGAAGGTACTTTACTAAATTGTGAGCCCCAGCAGATCTGAGACAGGCTTATGCTCCTCTCCAGCTTCCATGCAGATTTAGGGCCACTCAAGGGTTCTGGAGGCTTGTTGTGGTGAATCTGGGTGATGGTGACTGATTTGCCACCCTTCCTAACCCTAGTGTCCCTGGAGGGAAGAGAGCCCAGGGGCTGGTGCTTATAGCCTTCTTTTATAAGGCTTCATTCCTCTTCTAAAAACACTCTTAAGCCTTTGTGGTTTTGTTTTGTTTTACTTGTCCACATTCAAGCAAATAATGGAACAGCAATGATGCCTTTTTAAGAACTGAAGGAGCACTCTTAGGATATTTCTTTTTTATTATAATTTTTTATTAGGATATATACATTAAACAGGGAGTGATTTGTAGTGATAATGCTGATTAGTCTTACAGTGTACATTATTTACATTGCCCACATTGTCTCCCTCTCAGCGCCCTCCCCACATATTTATTTCTTAACAGCAAGGAACAACAGCAGTGTGGCTCACGTGTGACCAGAAGGCATCTCCCTGGGATCAGTCCCACTCTGTAATATGAAGACACTAGGCTAAAATGAGTTATTTGATGCACTGCCATGCCCTTCCAGCCCAGGAGCTGTGGCTCATGCCTGCCTTACAGTATTTCTCTTTCTCATCTCTTCTCCCGTTCACTCCTGTTCTCATTCGTTGGTGCTGTGTTCACGTGGATCATCGTACTGCACAGTCAGACCTGCCAGTAAAGAAGCGGACAAGAGCCCAGGGGCTTGCCACTTTGTGGTGACTTTCTTCAGAATTCTGGCTGTGTCAGTGCCTTTCAACAAGTACTGTGGTGAGGAAGCCTCACCCAGGATGCCCAGGAAGACAGCCTTCAGCCGAATGGCACATGAGTGTGTAAGAAGCCTCTTCAGAAGAAATGGGTATGCTTTAATTTTTTTTTTTGGAGGAACTGAAAGTAAATTAGTGTCATTGGACCTATTGAGCAGAGAGTGAATGGTGTAAAGAGGTTGGAAGATGAGCAGGGGTTTGATGATGGGACCTGGATTTTAGAATTTATACAAAGAGTATTAAGAAGATTTTCATGCTATGAGCATGAGCCAGGTGTGGTGGATACATCTGTAATCCCAGCGACTTGTGAGGCAGAGGAAGGAGGATTGTGAGTTTGAGGCTCGCCTAGGCAAATTAGTGACATCCTTTCTCAAAAAGCAAATTATAAACAAAAGGGCTGGGAGTGTGGCTTAAGTGGTCTAAGCATTTGCTTAGCTTGCAGGAGACTCTGGGTTCAGTTCCCAGCACTGAAATAAAGAAATAAAGAAATGAAATGAATCTTACCTCCGATGCTTGATGGAGAATGGACCGTTATTGAGAGACTAGTTAGGGCCACCATAGCAATTTCATGCTTACCAACTTGTGTGTACTTTGAGGAACAGCTGTGTCACCTATCTTAGAATTGGCATGGTATATTGTATGGAGCAAATGTTTCATGGAAGTTTTTCAGGAGCTGTTGCTGGCGAGTGCTGTAGGCATGTCTAGTGCCTCTCTGTTGTCCTGAGAATGCTGGAGTTGATGTGGGAAAGACCCAAGCTGGTCATACTCAGCAAGTGTGTTTTGGGCTTTGAAGCTCTGCCAGTACAGTGCATCGTAAGTAAGGCTGTGGCTGGCAGCGTTGAGCTGGGCCGGGTGTGCTGTGGTCCTGGACCCATGTAGTCTCCAGTAGTTTACTCTTGTTCCCTGGCAGAGCAGGAAGCCCTGTCTGCTGAGAGCCTGTGAGCTGGCAGTCCTGGAGGGTCTGGTCAGAGTCCTGGAGGGGAACAGCTGAGGAGAGGGTGTCCTGAGAGGAAATTGTGTGGTGCCTCTGCATTTAGGCTGTCCCTCCTAATGCTGTCCCTTGTCCTTAGGACCAATATTAACAGCCTCTGTATTTTGTGTGTGAGATCCATTAGGCATGATATTTTTCACAGCAGCAATCTTTCATTTATATTTTTACATTTTGAAAGACCGTGTGGAATACACAGTGGTTAAGATGTGAGTTTTGGACCAGATTGCCTGGGTCTGATCCTGGCACACCACACATTCAGCACCAGGCCTTGGAAAAGCTATGTGATTTCTGTGTGCCCTAGCTTCCTCATCAGTATGTGGGATCATAGTAGAATCTATCTCACAGGGTGGTGAGAACTCAGTGAATTAAACAGGTAAAGCACCGGAGCAGTCTCTGGAAGGTAGAAAGCACTCAGGGCAGGTTAACTGCAAACATGTCCCTAATCCTGTTTTGACCTTTTACAGAGGAACAGTTGCCAGCAGACAGGGTCAGGTTTGTGCCCAGAGGCACACAGTGTGAGCTGTAGTGCTGTTTGGTTCTATTTGCCTTTTGCTGTGTGTATGAGGGATGGTGGATTGAGTGGAGCAGGCTTGCACCCTGCTCAGAGGCTGCTGACGTGCACCAGGTCTCCAGCTCTGTTGTGTGGAATCACTCCCTGCTCCTTGGATTCTTGCTGGGAAGGGCACCTGCACTGTAAGAGTTGCAGCCCTCACCTGGGCTCAACAGTGAAGCCCAGATGATGACATCAGGAGCGTGAGTGCGTGGACTACAGCACTGGAGATGCTAAAGCAGTAATGTGCTCCCACTCCACCCTGCTGAGCCCTCTTGCCACTGCTCACAGAGTCAAGGCTGGAGCCCAGCATGCCCTCCTTTGATCCCCAGCTGGGCTCTGTGTTCCAGGCATAGCAGTCTGTTCCTTGTCCTAAACAGGCTATCAGCTTTAAATACTCAAAGTGTTAACAGTGCTGGTTCACTCTGTGATCAGAGAATTTCAGATTCTTTGTCCCACATGGAAGAATCCATGGCAGGACACGTGGCTGTAAAGGGAGTTTATTAAAAGGGATGGAATTTACAAAAGGGAGCTTGGTGCGGGAGGGGGGCGGAAAGGTAGAATCTGCTGTCAGAGAGAGAGTGCTTCTCTTTCTCAGTTACTTTAAAAGTGATTCTCATCCAATAATCAATGAGCGGGGAGGGGCATGGGTGGTACCCGGCCAGGTGACCATTGTGCCTGAGCCAAAGCATGGTTGATCTAAGATGTAAAATTTTTTTATGAGTCCCAAACTTTCCCTAATTTTAGCCTGCCTCAAAGGTACTTACTTAGGTATGCTGTTTCTGCAGCCAGGTTTCTATCCTCTCCTCCCTTTGAGTGTGTGTATCTGCTGTGGTTCACTATTTTCTACTCTTATGTGATATTTTTGTCTGTTATCATTAGTAGTTTATGTTCGTATTTGTGTCCTCCTCAACTGGACTGTAAACCCCTGTGGGGGTGGGCAGGGCCATGCCCTGTTTTCTTTGAATCCCTGCGTCACACAGTAACATGTCCATAGTTGGTGCCCAGTTGCTTCTGGAGATAAGCTCAGTACTTGATATCTGAGTGCCTTCAGAACACCCTTGCTCTATTGCCTCATCTACGAATGGGAGGAATGGAGCCCTTAGGAGCACAGAAGTCCTTGGCTATCTGCTGTGCTGTTGTCACAAAGGCTGTGAAGTAGTACATACTGTGCTCTGATGAAAAGCTTCAAAGTCCCTTTTCTTTAGTGAGGTTCCTTGAAGAAAGAGCTTTTGCCACTTGATCATCTGCATCTGTCACGTGATGGTCTGTTTAGACTGTCCTTGCTTCACAAAGAAGTCTCATGACTGATTGTCTACATAATGGTGACAGTTCTTGTGAGCTCTTTTCATTTTGTCAGAGTCACTACTCTTTGACTCAGTGCAGAGGTAGATGTTCAAGGCTTTCCACAAGAAGGGGTTTCTTTGTTTCCAGAACTACAATAGCTAGCTTTTAAGAGATGTCTTCAGGAAGAGGTGATGGGAAAGGACTCAGTGATGTTGAATGTGGTTTCAGACTCATGACCTTTTAAAATCTTAGTTCCAAGTTTTTCAAGGCCCTCTTTTTGTGATGTATTTGTTCTGGAGGTTTAGAAGACAAAAGAGATATGAAAGCAGTAAGTAAATGGGCAATTAAAATAATCATAAGTGCACTGAAGAAAATAATACAGGATTTGACAAAGGAATCCTACATCCTTGTACCGCAGTGCCTGACATAGAAATGAAAAACTTGGCTACCATTTATTGACTTTTTACTGGGTGCCGTGACTGTGGCAGACACTTCCTTTAATGCTTATAGGAATTTTGTGAGGTTTTACAAATGAAAAAATTAGGTTCAGAGAGGTTAAATAACTTACTAAGAATAAAAAGAAACCCAATGTTTATCGAGTATAATGGGATCTTTTTTAAAGCAACATTCAGGAATAAGGGTCTAGTGCCTCTATTTGTAGACTTACTTAATTTCCCTGATTTCCATATTGTTTCACACAAGTTAGTCTGTGTCAGTGAAGACCAGCTGAACAATAGTTTGTTCTGACACTTGTACTTAAGGGCATCTATCAAAATTATCCACTGGCCTTAACTTGTCTATTCCTTTAATATTTTTCTTAAGCTGGCCCCTTTCCCAAAACCTCTTGCATTTTTGCACCATCTGTTTCTCATGTTCACCTTGGGTTCCTACCCAGGTTCTCTCAATACCTTCTTACAGTGCAGATCCCAAGAGCAAACACATTTCCTCTGGTGGAAGTGTGACCAGTCTGGGGTTGCTGCAAGGATTTATTTTCTGTCTCTCACATGTCACATTCCTGTTGTGACATTTTTGATGATGGTTTTTTTTGATCTGACCCTCCCCTCCATGTGTCCAGCCCCTGTCCCCACCAGGTGGGCTCCATGTCTGCAGTGCCCACCACCCAGCTGACTGTCTCTGTGACTCCACACAATGAACATTAGGTGCCTGGGCACAATCCACACACATGCCACCTCTTGGCTCTGTCGTTTTGGTGACCCTTTTTAATGAACTTGGGCTTGGAGCTCAGGTGCATGTTGCTGGAAGAATTGGTGCTGGTCCTTTCCTTGTGCCTCTTCAGCACTGGCCAGCCTCGTGCTCCACAGGGTCTAATCACCTCCACATCACCCAGCTCAGGTTTGCCTCTACTTTGTCTCCTCCCTGCCACTGGTCACTTGTGTTGGGGGAAGAGGATAGCTATACGCTTGGACTTGAATCATAGCTTGGTCAAGTGTCAGTTGACTCATTTTACCTCTTTGAGTCTCTATTTCCTCTTCTGTAAAATGGGGAAAATGTTAACTGCTGAGGTTTCTTTCATTGGATGGAATGGGAACATCAAATTTCTTTCTCATAGTAGTGGTGAGTAAATATGTCTTGTCTCTTCAGGGAGGTTATTCTGTGTTGGGATGGAGCTCATAGGTGATCAGTACTTAGGGAAGTGATGTCAATATGGTATCTGATTTTCTTACAGCATGTGAATGGTGTGTGCCACCAAATAAGAATAATGGATAAAGCAAGCTGAAGAGGAATAAGGTGTGTACATATGCAATATTTACACAGTCTCTGAGGTCTCCCCAAAGAGCTCTTATCATCTCACAGTGGAAAAGGGGCACTTTTGCTATAGAGAGACCTGGCTGATGGCCTTTTAGCCAGGTGACCACTACAGGTGACATCATGAGCCATGGTGGAAATTGTCATCAGGTGCTTCTCAAAGTCGTGGCCCTTCTGTAGGATTCCTTCCATAATGCAGAACCTGGATCAGGGAGTGGAGCAACAGACAAACACAAAGCAAGGAGCATTGCACAAAATAGAGACCGCAGTCAAGGGGCATGAATGATAGAGAAAGGCTGTGGACCGTTTGTTCCAGGATCAGGTGACTATGAGAACTAAATGCAGTGTGGTGCAGTATTGGATCCTGGTTGGAAGAAATGCAAGTTGCTGTAAAGGATAGTTTGGGAAATCAGGATCCCTAGACTGAAATCTGAAATTCAGAATGCTGTGAAGTCTCAAACTTTTTGAGTACCGACATGATGTTCAAAAAGCTCCAGATTTTGGAGCATTTCAGGTTTTCAGATTAGGGGTGCTAAACCAGTAAAGTCTATGCAGATATTCTGAAATCCAAAATACTTCGTGTCCCAAGCATTTCAAATAAGGAATATTCAACATGTATGGATAACAGATTACTCTGTGTGTGTGTGTGTGTGTGTGTGTGTGTGTGTGTTAAGTGATTGCATTGAGTTCTTAGAAGATCATGGTTCTGAGAGTAAAGGGTACAATTTCTGCATTTAATTCTCAAGTGGGCTAGTGTAAAAGAGAACATACGTGTTATACAGACATACTTAGAGGTTGTGTTGCTGATGACAGTGGTTGAATCTAAATGTTGAGATTATGGGATGTCATTGTAATATTGTAACTTTTCTGTAGGTCTGAAATTTTTTTAAAAGTGTTTAATTAAAAAAAGAGGTAAATATAGCAAAATGTCAATATCACTTTAAATATCCTGGGTATCTATGATATTGTTTTCTATATGTCTCAGATGACAAAAATCTTTAAATAATGTCTTGCATTTTTAATACACCACTAGATTCTTTTTTTTTGGTGGAACTGGGGGTTAACTTGGGGTCTTGCATTTAAAAGGCAGGTACTCTACCACTTGAGCCATGCTTCCAGCTGTTTTTGATTTAGTTGTTTTTTGAATGGGGTCTCACATTTATGCCCATGCTGGCCTGAACCATGATCCTGTTTATACCACCTGTGTAGCTGATATTACAGGTGCACACAACCATACTCAGTGTATTGGTTGAAACGGGGTCCTTGAACTGTTTGCCTGGGTGGCCTTGAGCTGTGATTCTCCTGATCTCTGCCTACTGAGTAGCTGTGATTACAGGTATAAGCCACCACACCTGGCACATCATCATTCTTGATAGAATTAAATGAGCCTTGTAGGTGCCCTGCTGAGGCTCACCAACTTGGTTTCTTCTTTGGCTGCAGGACCATGTGGCCCATATCCTAGACTATGCAATCTTATTTTTGTTCTCTCTTTGTAGTGAGAGAGTTGCTATACTGGTGGGCCCTTGTCTAATCTCTTAGACCCATGGGGGAAAACCATCCATTCTAAGATACTGAGTAGTTGATATATTTATTGCTCTGAGAAGTGGGTAGTGGGTAGGAAAGCATTTGGGATTCCTTGGAGCTCAATTGTAAGTTAAAATATGATTGTGCTCATCTTAGCAACTGCTATTAGCCCTGGTGCATTCTCTTTAAAAGCCAAGATCAACTGTGGAAAAGAGACGCTGTGAACTAGTTTGGTTTGATGGGAAGGAAATCTACTTCAACTGCATTTTTTTAGTTTGGACTGCAGTGAGTACTTACATTTCTCACTGATCTTAAAGATGTGTGTGCATTGTAGTAAGTTACTGCAACAGAAAAGTGAAGGCGGTAATGACAATTTGGGACTTCCAGCAGATATTAATTTACTTGCATTTAAAGCTGAAGATGGTTGGGTTAAAGACTGCTGTAAATGTGAAAGGAGAGGAATTGGGCTCTTTTTTAGGAGAAGAAATTTTGAGATTGGTGGAGTGGCTCAAGAGTAGAGCACCTGGCTAGCAAGCACATGGCCCTGAGTTCAACTTCCAGTACTACAAAAAAAAAATTGACTTACAGAAGGAGAAAATTTGAGATTATTGCAGTTTTACTGTACTTAAAGATAGTCAGTAGCTTTGAGTATTTGACAAGGAAGGATTCTTTGGGTAAATATCATTTGGTCTTACTATGTGGAGCCAAAGGCAGTTTAAACAGATTCAGACTTGTTTCACCATCGCGAGGCTTGTCTTGGGTCTTTCTGTTTTCTTTTTTTGTGAGAGTGGGGTTTGAACTTGGCTTCACACTTGCAAAGTAGACACTCTACTGCTTGAACCACATCTCCAGTCCATTTTGCTCTGGTCATTTTGGAGATAGAGTCTTGTGAACTATTTGCATGGGCTGGCCTCAAACCTTGATACTCTGGATCTCAGCTTCCTAAGTAGCTAGGATTGCAGGCATGAACCACCGGTGCCTGGCTTCATGGTCACCTTTATATGATTATTTTCAGCGAACTTCAGAGTTTATAGTAAAATAGTTTTTAGATTTCTCTGGCAACCTTAGAAAGTAGATAGCACTACTTTCATTGCTTTATGGGCTGTTTTATGATTTCCCTCAGTCCCCCTGTGTGTGTATAATTTACATTAAAGTGAATTAGAACCATTTTTTTCATAAACTGAAAACACTTTGTAGTTTAATACTATGTGGATACTAATGACTATCATAGATAAAATCATTATGATGCTCTCCGTCCTCCTTCTGTGCTTCCCAGAACAGCGATGCAATGCCAAGATTTATTTTTCTGTCCAAGAAACTCTTCTGGTTCATTTCTCCTTACTCCCTTATCTCTGACCTAGTTTTCTTCAGTAACCTGTACCTTTTGTCTTCTCTTTCTTGTGTTTGGAAATGAAGATGGAGGGCTGAGTTGATATTCCAGCTCTACCACCCACTAACCACGAGATTTCTATGCCTCACTTTCCTCATCTTTAAAATGGGGTCAGAAGTGTACAGCAAGAACTAAGACCCTTCACCACTTTTCCTGTAGTCTCCTCAGTGTGACATTAGTCCACTTAGAAGCGCTTCCATTTGAAAGTTCCCCCAGAGTTCTTCCACCTAGTTAACTACATCTATTTATGTTTTTATTTTTGTTAAACTCATGATTTTGTTGAGCTTCAGTACCTCCTCAAGAAGCCTGTTTCCTATGCTACCCACAGCACTTCAAGGCTGAAAATGCATTCCCACTCAGTGTCCTAGGAGGGAGGTGGGTGTGTGGTGGTTGTGGCTTTGCCTATACCTTGCAGCTCTAGGGATGCCCTCCTAACCTGCCCAGTGTCGGTAATGTATAGGAACTAAAACAAAGCTTACTGCAAGAGCTTATTGGGGGGGCACAGCCCCTCCTGCTGCAGTTGGACAAGAACGGATATAGTCCTCATGCTTGGGTTGAGAAACCTGGGCTGGCTTGTTGCTTTTCCTGGCCTGGGCCTGCTTCACCTCGGGCTGTGTTGCTTTCTGATTCTCTGCTATCTACTGCTTTAGAAGCCACTGGTACAGGCCTAGGCTGCAATAAGGACCACCTGGGCTGTCCATCAGACACAAAGTGTGGTTGTGCCCTGGGTTCCAGGCCCAGGTAACTGAAGGGTGACGGAAGACGTCTGTGGTTTAGGCCACTTACTTAGCAGATGTGACCACCTCCACATGGCCCAGTCTTCTCTACATGATCTTGTGGCTGATTTGGCCAGATGCATGTATGTAAAGCCCACAGTTTTCTCTGCACTTCATCCAATCAGGAGTGTTCTTTGTTGTGCAGGGTATAAACCTGACGCTCATGTCTTGCCTTGTGTGTATTGTGAAAAGCAGTTGTGCCTTACTAAAGTTGTTTCTGAAAACTCCGGTGTGCTCACTGAGCTGACACAGTGGTGTAAGTGTGTGGGAGTCTGGCTGGAGGGTTTCACTGGGCTCTGTTTTCTCGACTACCAAGTGGGACAATGATGATACTTGGATGTTAATGGAGACCTTAGTTATTGTAGTACTTTGAAACTTTTAAAACATGAGACAGCTGTTATTTGTTTGGTACAGGCTGATGTGGGAACTTGAGAGAGACAAGGAGTGAGTCCTGCCTGCAGAGACTTCAGATGTTACTGGAGGAGATAAGACACATGTGGGTGTTTACACAACATGGCTGAAGGTGATTTTCTATGAGTCCTTGGTGGCTTTAAAGTCCTGGGGAAGGTCAGTGGAGAGGATGCTTCACAGAGAAGATGATGTCTGAGCTTGGCTTTTTGGTGGCCTGTTGATATAACTGGTATATTGGGGCATTAACTTAATCAGGTACTGGAGAGTGAGCCCCCCCTGGCTGGGGGAGTAGTGAGGAAAGATGCAGGTCTGGAAACCTGTCAGACTTGGACAATTCACAGTAGTTGTTGAGTTGGATTTGTGCCCTAGGCCAGGGGATCTCAGAGCAATGTTGAGCTGAGGAAGTGTTAAAATCAGAAGAGAGTTTTAGGATGAATAATCTGTCAGCAGTTTAAATGGGTGGAATAAAGAGAGGCAGGAAAGTCTCTTTAATGGAAGACTAGTAGGAAAAGATTGAAACACGGAACCTATTTACCTCCTAGTTAATGTTTTGAAGAGTAAATGAGACAAAGGATGTGGAAGTACATTTGGAAACATGAGTCAGGATGGTTCAGTACCCAAGCTTCCAGCCCTACAGCATTGGTTTACCATGGTGTCAGGTGCCTGTAAGTCCGCCTGACTCTTACCAAGGTGGTGGTATAGGGCTGCACAGCCCAGCTTGTGCTGGTCCCCCACATCCTGCTGCTCTGTGGCTCTCTTTTTCTTGCTTTTCACTCTTGACTTGGCTTCTGTCCTTGCCCCACCTGCCTCTGAGTCAAGAGACTAGGTTTCCATTCTTGTGCTAAGAATAGCCTATAGTAGAGCCTGATCTATTCTTTTCCTGGATTGTCCCTTCCAGGATCTCTCCCCTTCCTTGCTACTTGGAAGAATCACCTACTAAGACCACCTCATTTGGAAAAGCCCTAATAGGGAACTCTAGTCTGGTCTTGTCACAGTAACAGGCCCAGAGAATGGTGTTGAGAGACATGGGAGGATTACTGAACTACTCTGACCTTCAGTTTCTTTCCTCCAGGGTAAAAGGAAGAGGCTCTCTCCCTATTTGACTGTGATGCTTAAATGAGGTGATGATTGAAAGGACTTGTTGGTGTCCAGTGAACATTGGTTGCCTGCAGTGTTTTCTTGACCTTCTATTTCATGTTAAGGAGCTCAATATGTTGTCAGTCTCTATTTGGACAAGTATTTGGACAGATGTTCCTAAGCAGGCTACTACTTACTAAGAAATGTATCAGAAGTCATCCATTTGTTGACCAGGGACCTCCCGTCTGCCTGGTGTTTGGCTGTTGCTTGCATAAACCTTGGTAAGTGTTGGCACAGGAAGCATTCACAAAATCACATGGATGCAAGAGCATTGTAAAGTTAGCCCTGAGCCCTGTGCCATCCTGACTATGTGTTTATAAAGTTCACATTTCAAGTTTAATGGGATAAGAGAGTCAGAAGGAAACTTAAACTATCTTAGTCACCCCCAATGCCCACTTATGCCACTGCTGGATGGCAAGGTGTGCCTATTATAGGACATTGTGTGGTGGCTTATGACTTTTCATGAGTGTCTCCTCCCCAAGGTCTTATTCGGAAGTCCTTTCTTGATGTCTGTGGGCACGAAAGCACTATTAAGAAACAAGGAGTACTCAGTGCCTTACCCATGTAACCTGGACCACAAAAAAAATCTACATTCCTGAGAATATCCTCCCTCCCCACTTCCTTCTGTTGCTTGGGAAGGTATAATAAAAGACCCTGTGAGGCCTTTTATGTGACAGGGTCTAGGAAAGTTCAGCAAGGTATCTTCTAATTATCCCTGTCTCCAGGCACACCCCAGTCTTTAAAGCAGTACCAGAGTCAGCTCATTACTTCACCTGGAAAAATGTAACAACTTACTGAACAACTGGTGAGAACCAGGACCCATAGTAAGCGTGTCGCAACTGTTCTTTTTTTCTGTCATCACCACAAATCTATAATGTAGATGGTATCATTTCCATATTGGAGATCCAGGCTTTGGAAGGTAAGTGATTTACCAGCTATGAGTTACACAGGTATGAATGGCATAGTCAGGTTTAAATACAACTCATGTTAGAACCCAGGCACCTAGCTTTCCCCAGGCTGAGTGCGATGTAGGAGAGAGTTGCCTGTGGGGGTACCAGCATATAGTCCCTGTGCCTGTGACACACACACACACACACTCCTGTACACATTTGAGGGGGACAGGGGAGCCAGCTGGGCCAGGGGCTGTCAGGGGAGGCTCAGCACCAGTCCCTATGCCTGCTGTGAGAAGGAGGACACAGCTGTACCCTAGGCTCCAAAGTCCTGTTGGCCGATTTCCTGACGTGGCCATGTAGACCAGGAGTGTGGAGAGTCTTCCAGATCTAAGTGTGACCCATGTGACAACAGCGTTTTCAGGGTGATGCTGTCTTCAGTTTGATTTGGGTGAAGCCAAGTCCTACAGTCCCTTCTCTCCAACCCCCATCCACCCCGCATCTCCTGTTGGAGATGCAGTTCTGAGTATTTGTCTTCCAAATGTTATCTGCTTGGGCTGCAGTTTCAGCTTATGTCTTTTTTTCCTTAGTGGATTTGGAAAATGGCTGATTTTTGCCCTCCAGAGATCTATTAGTAGTGTTCTAAAAAGACTAATTTCCTACATTGACTGTGCTTGACCCCCACCCTTCTACTAGCCCTTCCCCTAAATTAGACCAGCTGTGTCCAAGTTTACTCAGACATTTGGGCTCCAGTTCTTGTTCTGCTCCTTTTTTCCTTTGATGGTGGTTCATTTCTTTCGAGAGCTTTCCCTCCAGCTGAATCCCTGTACTGCCCAGTGCCGGCCAGGCATACCTCTCTAGTACTCAGTTTTAATGTGAACCTGGGTATGTGCTCTGAGTGCTGTCCTCACTGCTATCCCCACCTCCTGTCCTGGTGCTTCATGACTTAGGTAGATGGCACTTAAGATCAGGAGCAATGGTGAGAGAAGGGTGGGGTGAGAAGGGTCCAGGCATCTGTTTTTTCCATTCATTTGGAACAATCTGTTTTGCTTCTCAGGTACCCAAATAAGCTGTTTCTCCCCAAGTTCTTTCTCCTGGCGTCAAGCTGCCTTCGTGGATTCTTACTGCTGGGCTGCTGTGCAGCAGAAGGCTTCCTTGCAGAGCGAGTCTGGAAACCTGCCGCTGTGGCTGCACAAGGTAATGGTGGATACTTTCAAATCCATCCTGTTTGCTTTATAGACATGGAAGAGGAAGCCTGGAGAGGCTGTGCCCATCCACAGCCATATAGAGGTGTGTGGCCAACCAGGGCTCTTTCTTTGATCACAAAACCTCAAAAGGAACCTCAGAGCTGACTTGGTCTGGCACCTTCACATAGCAAATAGGGAAGTAGGTGCTCTTTGGATTTTAGCTCCACAGTGTCAGGCACCTTATGTGTCTTCAGCTTTGTGTCATTGACGCCTAGCAGAATGTCTGGCCCCTAGTAGGCTCTCAATCCGCTCAGAAAGAGCAGAGCTGGGACTCAAGCACAGCTCCTTGTCCAGTGCCTTTTCCATCACACACGGGGTCTCTTAGTTGAGTTGGTTCGAGCTGCTGTGTTACTGGTGTGTCTGGAAGCCTCGTGGTGACTCGTTGGAGGTGCTGACTACAGCAGTTTTTGGACTGGATTCCTTTGCAAATACTGCACGGAAGCAGAGCTACTACGTAAGACACATCAGGGTCTAGGTTATGTATCCTACAGAGGACAGATCTAGGAGAGGACGTACAGTGGAGCGAACATACTTAGAAACTGGGAGGAAAGGAACTAGAGCTGTACTTAGCAAGTGTGTGCAGAACATTCTCTAAGTAGTGAAATGACTGCATTAGGTCTTCTCTGGGTACCTGAAATTAGGACTCTGTTTTAGCCTATAATTAATCTCAACCACTGTTTTTTTTGTCCTTCATGAACACAAGTAAAACATTTGTGTATCTTCTGGCATTCTGATCTGCTGAGGAGAGTACAGAATCTTAGCTTCTAAAAAACCAAAGGCTAAAGTTTATTTTGAGTCTCTCTTGCTTTGATCTGCCGTGGACTCTAGGCAGCACCCTTCTTTTTAAAGAGAGCAATTTTGGCTGTCTGTGACTCGGTCTGTTTTCTTCCGTGTTTGTCTATTGCATGCAGTTTGGTATAGTCATGCCCTGCAGTGACTCCTGTTTTTATTTGTGTTAGGCTTTTCTCTTTGATTTTCAACCTTAGCATTTGGTGGGGGTCCTCATCAGCTTTGTGTCGCTTAGTAGCCAGGACAACACATCATAAGGATCTGTGGGACAAGTAGGCACAGTTCCAGAGTTTGAACAGCTTTGTAAATCTCAATGCATGCTATTGTGGGCTGGCAGAGTGGCTCAAGTGTAGAGTACCTAGCAAGTGTGAGGCTCTGAGTTCAAACCCCAGTACAGCTCCCCCCCACTAAAAAGAAAGGATCTTAATACACACTGTAATTTAGGTCCATGTGTTACTTACAGAAATGTAAAGTTGTAACCAGTCACTGGACTGAGCATTGTAAAAGAATAGATAGCTGGATTACTTGATTTAAGAGTTGACGGGGATGTTAATGAGTGAGATTTTTTTGGAGTGAGAAGAAACTCAAAGATTTTTATACAAATGCCTTTTACATATGTAAGGGGAACTCTCAGAAATCAGGCCCAAGAATCATAGGACTAGTTGTCAACTAAATAGACTAGAACTCAGGTCGTAGACTCTCAGACCAATGTCTCCCCAGTGGAGGAAGGGGGAATCTGGTAGCAGTGTGGGGGTAGCCATGCCTTAGGTTCCTGGTATACTGAGAGATTGCCTGGTAGTGGGAGACTAGCTTGTTTGCTTGGGCATGTGCTGAGTGTCTGAGCAGAGCTCTTGCCAGATTCATATGGCTGGGGACAGAAATTGAAGTTGGGACATGCTAGGTTGGAAAGACCCTGGTCAACACCCACAAGCTTTTGGTTGAGACCCTTAAAGGCCATTTGTTAGGAGTAAAGGGTAACCTAACATTAAACCAGCCCTCATAGGGACTACAGTTCTGATTTGAATCATTTCAGTACCAGTAGAATGAAGGAGGTCTGGCATTGCTGGTGTCTCTAGTCTACCTGCCTGCTATAAGCAAAACTGAATCCTTTCTGGAGGAAGGTGACATTGTGTAGAGCCTACATGCATGCTCTGACTTTCCACATGGCTGTTTAGCATTCACTGAGAAATACCAAGTATGTGAGAAAAATCAGAAATTGAAACAGACCCATGTGAGATCCAGATCAGGCATTCATTTTAAATAATCATTAGTAACTGGTAATAATTAAAGAATTATGATAATGTGGGGAATTTCACCAAGAGTTGGACGTTGTGAAGAATTAAAGTGACAGGAGAGTTCCTTTTAGCTGACACTGATGGAGGGTCGTCTAATGCTAGGAAAGTAGACATGGAAGAGAACACAGAGGGAGAATAATTGGAAAGTTAGATGGGAAAGAGAGAGAGTGGTTTTCCTAGAAACCGAGGGAAGTGTTTCCAGACAGAGCAGTGTGGCTCTGTTACATGCAGTCACTGCATTTAATGAAATCACAGGAGGAAATTTGGGGAGAACTAGCAGCCAGATAGTTGTGGGTAAAAAGTGAATGAATGGGAGGTGAGGAGATGAAAATGATGGAAATAGAAAATTTCTTCAAAAAATTTTTTTTCCTTTTCAGAAAATCTCTCTTCCTGATCAGTGGAAGAGTAAGTAACAAGCTGGGTGGCAACTGGAGGGAAGGTTTGGGGTCCAGGAAGGTTTGTAATATGAGAGTTTTGAGGAAATACTCACGGAATAGGAAGGTAGAGAAGAGGCTGAAGTGTACAGCCATACCACACTGAACGCACCGATCTCGTCTGCTCTTGGAAGCTAAGCAGGGTCGGGCCTGGTTAGTACTTGGATGGGAGAAGAGGCTGAAGATAACTGGGCCCACAAGCACAAAGACACTTGCCTTTGAGTATGGGGGGGGCGGGACATAGCACTTTACTATGAAAGAAGCTTGTCCTGCTGGGAAGCAGTGGGGTCTTGACTGGCTGGGAGGGAAGCTGGGTTATATAGGACCTGTGAAAGCTAAACAGGTGCATAGGCTAAATACTGAGACACTGGGAACCATTGCAGGTTCCTAAGCAGGTGAACTTGCTGGTTCCAAGAGTTAGTCCTCAGAAGTGGTGTGCAGGAGAGAGGAGAAACAGGGAGAAAGCCACTAGCTAGGCACAGAGGGATGGTTCTGATCAGGGAATGCAGGGATATTTCTGAGAAGGCAAAGAGCAAACAAAAAACAATACTTGATGTCTCATTGCTTATTAGAAGGTTGCACTAAAGGATCGGCAAAGGGAACATCAAGTGCTTAGGCTAGGGAACAGCAAATGTCCCTCCCTGTGGAGGGCCAGTGTCTTGACATTGCAGGTCATATAGTCACTGTTGTAGCGACTCAGCTCCACTATGGTAGAGACTATGTACAGGAACTGGTTGTGACCAGACTTGGCTTTTTGGCAGCACTTTGTAACCCCTGGGTAGCATGGTAGCAGTGGTAGGAAGTGGATAGATTCTAGTTGTTTGAGATGGTGAAACCAACAAGATGTGCTAATTGGACATGAGAGGT